TCTTTTCTCATATCTCGTTACATTTTGGTTGATTGATGTTACATGTCTTCTCAACGGAACCACCAAAGATAACGTTTTTCCATTGTTTTTCCTTTGGATGTGATTATTAAACAGTTATATAATTTATTTATAACGATTCATCTCAGGCCCAATTGATTCTCATATTGCATAATGCTATTAATTTTTTAAATTATCGCTGTCGTCTGATTGATTGAACATCTTGTCTTTTGTATGCGGTTATCGTTCACATTAGGTAGTCATTTATAGAAGTCGTTATCATTGTGATCTGTACTTTTACGTATTCATTTCTTCGATTTGTTAAATGTCACTTGCTTTAAAGAATTTTTTTACAAATTGAAATACAGGTTTTAATTATGTTAATAATCGTTATTGTACTTTAAGAGTCATGAATCAGTCATCACCCCTCTGATATGTTTGTAGTCAAATTTTGATATTTAGCTAGTAGGCATTTTGTCGGTTTAGAATGTTATCAATGAACATATTTCAGTTATTGTTATTTATCACACAGTTTGAACATATCATTAAAAGTATTGCTTGACTGATTACTATTGATGATAGCAGTTTACATGAACAGTGAATGTCACGAGGACACTGTTGAAAAAACAATACAAATAGTGAGGAAAAATTTTGACATCATCCAGCCAAAATAACGTGCAGTGTTGCCCAAATAAATGTGTTGTGCCCCACCTCCAGCGCTAGGGCGTTCCACAAGCAAAAACTCGGTGGTGAAGGTTGGTATGGAGGAACATAAGTGAATTTCATTCCCTTATAGGCATAAGCGTGAACCCAAGTACTATTATGAGCCTCGGCCTGGCCCTAAGAGCAGACCAGGCATTATGTTGCCAAATGACGCACAAATCCAAACAAATTTGACGCAGATTTTACTCCCTGCCAAGTAGTCTCTTTACTGCACAGTACTCGGTCATTTAACCCCCACAGTTCATTTCGTAAAAGGACTTAGGCACCACCCTCAAGGAAATTCTTGAACATAGCAATAGGAAAGCAACAATGGTAAATTGCTCTCTGCAGCTGAACGTACGATTGCTGTAGTAACAAGCTTGAAGCCACTGCACCCTATTAAAATAGCAGAAATACCTTCGTAATTAAGTTCAACGCTTACTCACTAGTCTTGCATAGGTGCTGCGTGCATGACCATATCAAAACAAATCAAAAATATTATAATTAGCGTGAATTTAAGAGATCATAGCATATCATGGTATGTCTTTCGTATTACTCGCACGAAATGGTGAAAATGCGTTCGAAGTGCTCAAATTGATTCGAAACGAACTGTCTGGGAAAATGGCCGGATACTGTGCTGTAAGGAGACTGGTTGGTAACGGGCCGATTAGCCTGGACTCAATCAGGCTAGACTGTGAAAATGTGACGAAATCGCTATGAAGACGAGTGACCGAACAGAACTGCAAACGAAGCTGAGAGAGGAATTGAAAACGAATCGGCTGCTCTTACTGCCGTTCACAGATTGATTTAACGAGGCTGGGCTCCATCAGCTTCGCATCTAATGAACGGTGTATAGCCGAAGAAATGATCTCGTCTAAAAGGGACGTCGTAACTTGCTCATCCGATACATATCGCCATAAGTTCTGTTGTAAATAGTAGCAATCAACCTGAACAATAGAATGACTCAACAAAAGATAAAAATGGAAATTATCTCCCTAAAATGTTTTTTAAATGACCGTCTCGTTCATAAGAACACTAAAAATACGAAACAAATCTAAAAGTGAACCTGAATCTGTTCCAGACCAAACTTCGAAAACGTCTGTAAACGTACACTTTCGGCAAAAGATTTGAGCGCGACACTGACCAATGCAGTCAGTACAGATGTACGATTAAACTAAAACACCGAAAGATCAACGAATGAGTAATACAAGAAGCACTCGTTCAAGATCAATTGAACTAAAGATGAAATAACCTCAATATTAGCACAAAAATCGACCCTCTCCGTCCAAAGTTTATCCAGCGTAGAACTGATTGAGCACGTATCAAAGTTTGGATTACGACGAGTATGTGAACGAGCAGTAGTGCTTTCTGGATTACGTTCTTTGCGTGTTCCTTCATCCATCTAATCAGAATTATCTGTTATTATGTCTGACTGAAGAAATGATGAATAAAACTTACAAACGGCTTGATGAGAGAGTCGAGTGATGATAAATCTTCGACAAGTCGTTTAGTAACTGCACGAACAGAGCTTGGTTCTGAGCAAGTCAACCAATCTCGAGCTTCGACACTCTTCACAAGCATCTGCAAGTAAACGCATACACTTATTGCACTCGTCACTGCAGAGACACGATAATAACCTGTGATATGATGATTCCCTGAAGACGAACATAATGCTTCAACAATGCATGCGCAGTTGCTCGTAACGAAACACGTGGCTTATCTAATGAAGTCAATTGTGACTGATCACCTTTTTCACGTTCGGATACCAACCTGAGCACAGCATTTTGAGTTGATGATTGCAAGCAAAGAAAATACAACCACTCACCTAAATTGTTCTTGACAAAGATCGAAAATATATGAGACGGATCGTGAATCAATGTTCATATAAAATTGCGCTAATAGAACAATAAATGCCGCATTACTGCTGCTCACACTGCCATCACAAAAAGATCGACCAAAGTTTGAGACCTGCTCGAGGGCATTCACTACAAGCCTTTCGTGAACATCAACACCGAATCCATACGAAAATACTGCTGAATTCAGTAGCATAATTAATGCTTTGTTTGAAATCATATCAATTTTCTAAATTGAGGTAATATTTAAAGCTTTCTTAATTGATCAGATAAAAAGGATATACATGGATCAAGAGATGAAAAGGTCATATCGGATGCGGTGAAGAGTAGCAGTGAAGCTAACGCGGTTTTGAGTTGTACTAACAGAGCATGCTCGAGTCTAGAAACGAGTTCGCTGAAGTCGCTGTTTGATGGAGTCGTGCTCAGTTCAGTTCGTACCTGGAAAGACAATCCGTATTACTCTGCTTCAATGAACTGGATTAGAAGATCGAACCTGATTGATGACAGTTTTGACTCGACTGACCACTTGCTCAGATGCTAAAGCAATTTGATGTCGAGAGACGGCATTCAACATCGATATACTCATCGGTGAATAATCAACTCCTGAACAGACTGAATTTGCATAACAGCCGAATTTGCACAATAATAAGAATAAAGGAGAGCAACCTGGAATAAGTTGATTGCAAGACGACATTCTTCTATAGAAACGATCCAATGCACGTACAACGATCGCACACTCACGTGCATCAGTTTCATGTAAAAAACGCGTACGAACAACGTCGTTAAAACGCGCCATCAACGTATCTAACATCTCAATCACCTCGCCATCACAAGCCTGAAACTGTATGTGATCACAGCGTTACAAATTTGAATGCTTCAATAATTTCGTGAATTGTTCTGCACAAAAAATACACACTGATAACTTGAATTGACTGTATGAATACCTGACTGGGGAATAAGCGCTGGTTGAGGGCTGTGAAAAGAGATAGATCAGCTAGAAAACTGCTACATGAATCATCGATGAATTCTAGCACGTCCTCTGCAACCNGTTGTTTATCTTTCTGTAAACTCACTAAAGATTCAACGTTTACAAACATAAGTTTATAAACCATATCACCATCAGTGAGCAACGTTTAAGCGCTATTAACGAATCAAACGACCTGATCTTTCCGCTGCAATGCATCGATTTGATCGTTGAGATTATGTCTGAAACTTTCTAAGAAATCGCTGTGAATAGAAGATGCAGGTACGCCGAGCTTGAGTAGAAGTGAGACAGCTTCTGCAACATCTTCCGACGATACTACACGATTGCACACAACCGATCGTAACTGAAATTTTGAACATTTGAACACTCAACTGCTCACTGAAACACTAAAATAATTGTTTTGATGAGATCAATTGAGGATTAGTCCTTTCTGAAATGCAGTAGTCGAATCAAATTCAAGTACAATGATATTACCTGTTCCTCGACATCATTCATCAATGAGCGAGACTCAGCTGATATTGATGCCACCGATGGTACATGACTATAACGCGCAAGTGATGGATTTGCAGCTAGATAGCATTTAACTGCTTCACAGTACTCTTTTTGCTCCACAAGGCTCTAGAATCGAGGACACACTTATTTTATAACTAATGCTGTGAACAGTACAGATGAGGTCTTCCCTAAAAGAAGCATAATCTGAATGAGCATCCCCGGGTTACGTTCTTATCTTCTGGTTAGGTTGGTACAGCCGAATATAAGTTACTGCCACGATCTCCAAGCTTGAGCCACTCGTCACATACATGCATCCTAGACTGAACACCAGAAGCTACCTTGAAGAAAACCAAGATCAAAGCTTGCCTCTAAATTCAGAAGTCTTCCTAGGTTCATCTCTCAATAAACAACATTTCTTTAAGAGTATATCATAATAAAAGTGAAATGAATCGAAAATTGAGCACGAATCTGACCTGAAGTTTAGTAGGCAGACTAAGCATGAACTGTAAACTTTTGACTGTTTTATTCGCATCTGCTAAGTGTGCCACATCAGCTCGATGTTTCCCAAAAGCACCACAAAGATCTTTCGAAAGATCTGATATTCGATTCATTCCTTTCGATAAGTTTTCCATTTCCTTCACACAGTATCTTTTATATTGAATTTGGTATATTTGCTTGCATTTAACGATTAATTTTAACTTTATTCTGAACGTTACAATCGATCAGAAATAAAATTGCTCTTTTACAAATGATTCAATGTGCACTTACTCGACCAATCTCCATAAAATCACTTTGCATCTTCTTCACAGTGCTCGTTGCCGTTAAGAATTTATTGTAGTTCTCATAAACTAGCTGTTGCATTTCTGAATCCAAACGACGCACCTCAAAATGTAATCATTAAAACAGAGGTAGTAGATAAATGTTTTCTCGATAGATGTTTTCTAATTGTTTGATGATAGCAAACGCAACAAATCGAATACGTTCATTGTTACCTTTTCACTTGAATTACTTTTTCACTCATTGACTGGTATTGAAATGAGATGAGTTTTGATTTTTATGAGCTATATTGAGTTAAGCAATGATACAAGTATCTGAACATGAGTTCAAAATACGTAACAACTAACATTATGCACCATATCTTCTTCGACTTGCACCAATTCGTCAAGTGTTTTCTTCTTCAGTAAATGAGACAAATATGCATCGCAATTGAAGTCACCACATTTAATATCTAACGGATTACTGCCATGTATTTCACTCCCATCACTCATTGTCCTGAACCCAACACATATTTCTTTCAATTAGACAGAAAGAAAAAACATAAAATTAGATGTGCACAATAAAATTTTTTTGTGTACATCATGTCGTGCGCATGATAACTGTTAATCTGCGTTTCGTTTTGTGTAATGCAGTGCGAAGCGAAGGGATTTGGGCAATACAATTTTACGTATTCACACATAACAGCCTTAGCACGATAACGGCACGTGTTTGTCAAAAAGTCGAAGACATATATGTGGCTTTTTTGCGATGCATTGGTGGAACGGACAACAACACAGGATATGGAACAAAGCAAGGAAATGAAGTAAGACGAGTATCAGTGTCATTGCTTGGCAATCATAACAATGGTTTATCATTTGTGTGCACAATTGCTCGTTTATTAAAAACAAGTGGCGATGATCAGCGAATTTTTTTGCAACAGATCACATTTAGGCTTAGGCTGAGATTCATATCGGGGACCCACTTACAGATATCCATCTCATTTGCTCAGCTTGAGTGTAATGCAGCGCGATAAAATCCTTTGACTAGAGCCATTTAGTGAAAACCGTTCGTAGGTGATATTGCTCGCTGACGATGTGACACTTGTCGGTTATCCAAATGCTAATGTGCACAGGAAAAAACATCTTATTAGATTTCTACTACTGTTCATCCGGGAACGGGGTCCTCAACCGGGTGCAATTCCCCGGCAGTTTTGCTCCCCGACTTTTTAGTCGGGTTCCTGTCCCTTCCGTGGACGAGAGGGTGTCTTAATGCTCGTGATACACTATCATCGTAATGTCCGTATCAAAATCACTATCATTATTTTGAAGTCATCTTCATCAAGCATTAATGAAAGTGGCATCACGAGCATTTGTTTATCAAGACTGTATCAGTTTCATCATTCTGTCACTAGCATACCGTAAACACCCCTTATATACACCGGTGTCACTAACTTTCATGAATGTTTTCAATTCGGTGAGGCGATCTTTTGAAAACGTTCACGGAGATTTTTGAAATGGAAATTGTTTCCGATTGAGATTTTCATGCGTTTTAAAATTCATATCATTTACCACAAGATCTGCTGCTTCAGAATATCTCAAAACGCATCGAGTGTTCACCTTTGCTCTCTCTCTCTCTTCACTTTGACTGTTAAATGCTCTTTTTTATTCCTGCAGGTGTGAAGATCGCTGCTCCCTTTCCGTCTTCACGCTGATTTAAGATACGCCTATTTGTTTCGTTCATCCCACACCAGAGTTAGTTCGGCAGCTCGGAAAAGCTTACTGGTGAGCAGTGATGCCTTATTTGAGAGAAAAAAAATTGGTCCAGCTCCAGCTCCGCATTTTTGAAATTTCTGCCCTATCTTCAGCTCCGAAATTTCCTCTGCTCCGTTTAGGTCCCGGCTCCCGAGCAGTCCGCACCCGGAAAAAAACTGTCGTACGGGTATTGCTGTGATAAAAACTGATTTTTCTTTCTTTTCTTAGGTGCGCGCTCATGATGACGTTTCAAAGAAATTCGAGAGTTACCTGGGTTCCTTGTGACGTGAGCTACTGCACTGATGGCGATGTTGATCCCAGATTGACGATCTTGATGTTGATAGTAGTACTAGTAATAATGCTACTAGGGAATATTGAAAGAGCACCAGCATTTACCATCCTGGTGCTCTTTCAATATGGTAAATCCTGGTGCTCTATCAGTATCCGCTACTACTAATATTACTAATACTACTATCAACACAAACATCACCATCAGTGCAAAAACTCACATCACAAGGAACCAAGGTAACTTTCGAATTTNTTTCTTCAAAATTGTTATGATATTTTCTAAAGGGAACCAAAAAAGTTTTTTTGGGCACCGGAGCTCAAGCATCACTCCTGATGAGTGGTGAGAGGCGAAAAACAGAAAGACGACATAAGAAAGGTAACATCAATACAATAAAGAAATGAATTGTCGGCGAGATGCATGCAAATGTTTAATCTATAGCAATCACCTTCTATGCTCAATTAAAAAATATATTGCTGTGAACAAACAAATACGGTCCCACATAATGATAGAAGTTACAATTTACAAGATCTATGTAGCATTGCAAAAGTTCTAGGATGCTACAAAAGTGATGATCGATCGTATAAAGTAGGAATGTGATGGATTTAGGTAAAGCTGATGTGAATTGTTTGAAATATGGTGCTTTTCCATATTTGCTTCATCAGTCGACCATAAAACAAACCCGTCTCACACGTTACAGCAAGAGTGAGTGCATGTTTCAGTTCGGTAACTTTGATTGAACAATGAGATGTTTTGTTTCCATTGAGAATCTGGTCAAGAGAATTCGTTTATATACAGTTGTCTATCTCTGCTTGCAAATATTCTTCATATCTATACTTGTAAATATGTGCATATCCCAAAAGAAATGAATTGAAATGAAATGAAATAAAAGTGAATAAAATTTGTAAATTATCATCGAGATATGCATTTTCGAACAATGACAGGGGTGAGATTAGAAACAGAAATAATAATAATACGAAAATAATGCCTAGAATAGGGATGTTGCGCGACGTTGCGTCAACTTTATCCGCATCAGTATATTCGTTCGGCTGAGATCCGACGCATTGCATCGAAATGTCATTCTTCTACGCAATATTTTGATTATACAGAATATACGTCACTGTCATTATTTCTGTTCTTACTGCTAACATAAGAATTATTATAACCTAAAGTGATAAATATCTCGTATACTATTCTGTTCAAGCACTGACTTTTGTGTACATATTGTATAGCAATTAACCATTTCGTTTCACGCACAACTTTCCTCCGTGAGTGGGGGGTAAGTTAAGCTAAAAACTGAATGACGTATCAGATCATTGATGTTACTGAGGCTATCATCTGGACAAGCAACGATGTTGAATGTTGAACGAACTACATTATGTTCGATTTCATTTGAGGACACTGAATTTGTATTGCAGTAATGTAATCAAGGAAGAAATCAATCGGCATAGGATGTTTTCTGGTAGAAAATGTTAACAAAACAATTCTGATAGAGCACTCGTCTTCAGGATGAGTCTTAGCCTTACTTGAGGTTCAGACGCGGCGCCCCGAGATGAACTTTAGTCTAAGCCGAGGCATAAGCCTCATTCTCAGCCTAAGCACTGGCTCCTCAGGTGACAACCAAGCCATCAGATCAAGAGGTATGCAAGTACATACATAGGCATCATATTGGAATTAAACTGCAAAACTGATTTGTAGCTGTGCGTCTGGATATTATTATTATAATTTCAATGATTCGGTTTCTATCTGATTATCTACATTCATAATGTGTAAAACAGCAGAAAGAAATGTGAAAATAAAGAGACAGCATACATGCAGACTCTAGTGCAGTTCAACTAAGTGGCGTAGCGTGCCGCCAAACTTGACTCAGAATGCAAAACAGACTCTGGGTGGGGCTTAGTGCAGCTTTACACAGCAAAATCATGGCTTGCTGTGCAGTTTTCAACTGAAACGTTAAGTACCGTAGTGATGTTGGATTGCATCCAAGCAGTGCTTGTTACAGCTCGTAACATATTTTTATCGATTGCCATTGGCGTGTTCGTATGTATTATTTTATTGTTGTTCTTTAAATTTATAATCGAGACTGTAATCGTTGCACTAAATGAAACAATGTAAGAGCACTTAAAAGCATGCTTAATGCTGCGTAAGATTTTAGCTGAATGACTGAAAGTTTTATGATAGTAGATGGAGAGGAAAGACCTTGTTCGAGCGGTGTCTCCATGCCTGCAGACGATGAGGCACTAAAAGACGATGCAAGCAATGATGAACAGTACGAGCCTGAAGGTAGCACTGGTAGATTAATTCTTGAATTATTTATGTAATCTGATCATGTCATTTGCTTATTGTCAACACCGAAATTTCTGGTTTGGTGATCTATCGAAGTAAGCAGATGGCTGTTACTTCATGATCAATATGACATTAATCCGGCGAAAGGATTACGTTTTCAAATAGAGGAGTGTTTGAATTAATTACACGACAATGATTTAAGGTGATGTCACGGATGGCCCGATCTACATTCCATCAGTATGTGCGCCACGTTCTTCGGATCAGCAGTCAACGAATGTGGTGGTCGACGAAGGTCTGGGAAAATGTGATGGGAATGATGAGGAGGATGAAAAGGGTAAGGTATTGAGAGGGCTGTTGAAGCGTGAAGCAACTCATCTTGGTGGTGTGGGCTTGATGCTGGATCGTCTGCGGAATCCACAGCCAAAAAGACGTATTGTTCTGGGTGGTGTGCTCACAAATAATCATCGTTTGTTAGCACCAATTCGCACGCCTCATCATCTATCGATGGGTAAATTCTTATTCAGTCATTCATTTCAAGTATTGTCGTGAATGAACAGAATGTCTAATTTAAAGCAATGGATGACTTGTTTAAAATGGAACCAGCTCAACAACAGCAAACAATACGTGAAGTAAGACGTGTTATGCGTTCAAAAATGTATCGCTGTAAACGATGTAAAAATCGTTTCATCGAAAGGAATCTTTACGAAAGGCATTTGCGTGATCGCCATTTGAGTGATTATGAGGTTCATAGACTTTTTTTTCACTTTTATCGCATCCAGCTTTTACTTTCATATAAGGAAATGTTGGAGGAATTATCTAACTGAAGTTCAGTAAATCTGAAAGTCTGCTCAGAATAATTTTAAGATTTCATTGAAATATTCTCAAGGATTGAAGGCAAGTGAAACGGCGAAATTTTCTACTGAAATTCAGTGAAATTTAATCAGCTGTAGTTGTGAATAAAAAGAATTTCGGAAAAAAAATACGTTAAGGATTACATGCGTGAACAAGAAGCTGAAATGGAACAACAAAGGCAAGAAGAACTAGAAGCGAATCGAATTGAAGAATTACAAACCGGTGGTTTCATTCCACCAGCCAACGATATCAATGCTGAAAAATTTCCAGTTGATGTTGATAAGTGAGCTGTTTTCCTAAGATTATACCCTTTAAACAGTTCAAAATTCACCGTTTTCAGTAAAATGTAACTGAATGAGGTGCCAAAGAATATTGAGTGCCTAAATGTCGGCGGTCTCTTTCAGGATACCTCTACCTGGTGAATTGAATGGTGGTATAGCACCACGTTTCGATACATTCGGCGGATTAAAATCAGTTCGACGACCGTATCGTAAAAAGATCTCACCACAGTGTCCGTTTTGCGATAAACGTTTTCGAAATGAATTTTCATTGAAGAAGCATTTCATCAAGAAGCACCCGGATTGTGTGGAATTTGTGCAGTGTGTTAAATGCTTTAAATGTCTGAAAAATTATTCCGAACTCAGTTCACATCAGTGCGAACTGGTTTGTTGATTTCATTGTTCACTTCATCCATTATCATTTGTTCCTCTTCACTTCTTACTTTCATATCTCTTCAGTAAAGTGTTTTATTCCAGGCTCATGTTTGTTTTGAGTGCGTCCCGATTCGCAATCTTTGCACTGAAGTTCGACTAAATAATCATCGAAAAAAATTCCATCGTGGGGCAAATTCAGGATTCAGATGTAATTTGTGTAATTTGAAATTCTTAACACCGAGGAAGCTGCGTAAACATAAAAAAATGTCGCACGTGTTCACGAAAACATATCAGTGTCATTTTTGTGACGAAATATTCATCAGTGAGGTTGCGGTTAGTTTTTGTCAAGTTTATACAAAGAGAATTTTTAGGTTGTATTTCATTGGATCTTATCAAGTGAATTAATTCACTTGGAATGATTGTTTGAGTTCAGGTGATGACACATGAACGAATCCATACTGGAATAATAAAGTTCGAATGCAAAGTTTGTGATTTCAAATGCAATCGATTTGTTCAAATGGAATATCACAACAAAGAAGAGCATGGCTATATCTGCTCCATCTGTCATGATCGTTTGTCCGAATGGTCTGATATCAAGAATCATACGTTAAGTGAACATGGTGGCTATCTCACTACTGAATCAAATTCTGGTTAGTTGCTTAGTATTCAGTGTTTTTATAGTATGCTATCGTTTACAGCTTATATTTTAGTGTTCTGTTTTTTAAGGATATTACTGATTCAGATGGTTGCAGGGTACATAGAGAGTCCACGAGTTTGGGTAATGTTCAAAGGCGAGTGAAATATGGCTAGGTATTAGGAAATACGTATCCGGAATGCTGGGCTCTTCCGATTTTTTTTGACATCTTTAATATTTGTATTCATTCGTATCATGTTGTCATTTCATACGTTGTTTCATTTTGCTTTTTCAGAGTTTTCAGTTTATCAGTTTTTTAATTTTTGATTGAAACATTGTTCATTGTTAAAGATGCTGTATAAATGTTTTTAATGGCTCTAAACTTGACCAACCGAGACATTCCAAACTGCGCACGACAGTTCTATCTCTTTAAGCACTATTGGATCGAGCTCGGAGTAATTCCTACTGATGCTCTGTGATAATTGCACGTAAACTGAATACGCTTGTTTCATCCTAATCTTATCGTTTTCGCAATCATTTCATCGCTTCATCTGTTTCAGGTGATTGACCAGTACTCAGTCGTTTATTGGTTTACTCATATCACACAAGTTGATCATAAATAATGGATCATGTCTTACCACTCTGATAAATTGGCAGATTCGTATATCGATTACCGATGCTTGAAATGCTGTGAACTGTGATCATGTATCTTGATAACATCGTACAAATTTAGTCCTGCGATACTAACGTTATTAAAAACTTCATTGTCATTTGCGTTTTTTTTTTTGTTTATTCACTTTCGAAAGACACTATTAATCACAGCACTATTTCGTTTATCGAGCTTATCAGCATAATTACCTTATTTTCTCGCTAGTTGTGAAACGTTTGTTGCAATCATTTCATCTGCTCGAAATGGACACGGATTGTGTGAGGCGGGGTGGCTTACATGTTGTTACATAAAGTGGTGATTAATTCAGAATGTTGAGACTCAGTTGTCATTCGACGATAGCCGTCTATCAGCTCAATCAGTTCATCGCATTAGGTAGCCATTTTGATGACAGTCTCGCCTCTCAGCATATTCCCTGCATCAGTTATTTGTGATATATTCATTCGAAGTAGTTATCGGTTGTCGAAAGTAAAGCATATGTGGACGGCATTAATTAATGATGACCGTGGAGAACATTTAATAATCATTCTTAAATTGACCAACAAACCCTAACGTGTTCTTTTTAATCGTATCCCTCCTGCTCTCTTTGGCATCAGTTCGACCCTAATTAATGTTTAGCCTATTGTGCACTTCATAGTAGCTAATATGTTTAAATCGAGCTGTCGTGAAGAATCGTACTGTCATGCAAGCATCATAAAACATTTGAAGAATGGAGATTTACCCCAACACTTAGGAAATGAAACGAATATTCTAAAAAAGATCTTCAGCTAAATCCGTGTTCTCATTTTCATTTTTTTTCACCTTGAAGGTCACATTTCGGATGAAACACCAGTGCAAATTAACGAACCTGAAATGCTTATATGATTACCGGCGAGGTACTGGGAACAAAATCTCAGCTGAAGTTCTATTTGTGAGTATTGATTGTATTACCATTGCAGGCTCGTGATCAACGTGAAACGAGGTTGTATCGAGTTGTTGAGTTATTGAACAAAAAGTATTCGGATTAAGATCTCATTTGAAGACCTTTACTTTTAGGCTCTTATTTGCCGAGGTCTAAAGGTAAAGGTGTTACCTAATTTGAGGTTAGTCAAACAGTTAATGTTTATGGAATATGGCAATAATTGTATGAGTATAGATAAACAGTTACATATACGTATATACATATATTTTTTGCAGACGTTGTTGAGGAGTGCGTGCGGTTGTGGTTTGAGTGCGGTGCGTTTGGCAGATTGAAAGGTAAGCGCAAGAAGAGTGGTGTTATGCTGGCTAGAGGCGTGACTGGCTGCATGAGCTTCACCTGAGATGCAGCAGGTGACGACATATAATCGTAGTGCTGCAGACCAAGCGAACACGAGACGTCACCGCATCATCGAGGTAAGGAACTCTTATTGATAAACCTACTTGATCCATGCCGCTATCCGAATTCCAGCACCTGATGTTTCACTCTAATTATGTTGCATTGTTCTCATTTGCCTAGCAAATAATGAAATGAAAATAACGATAAGTCAAACGTAGATGATGGGCCAAAAAATAGCAAGCAAGAACAGAGTGCGTGGTGAGTGATTAGTGCGGGTTAACGATGTTTGATCGGAATAAGTTGGCTTAATCGTTTTGTTTGAGTGGTGTCAAATGGATGACAACTAAACAAAATGTTTACACGTGTCTGCATCAGCGTTCGAGATTCATCGATGTATTTCAGCGTGTCGGTGAATATAACATCGGTAAAGCAATTGGTAAAGGTAATTTCGCAGTGGTACGTCTCGCTAAACATTCTCTATCAAATACTCAGGTACATACTCAGAAATTATCTTGTTATCGAATTATTTATATTGTGTTCGTTATAATTCTTTGCCGCGCATTTCAGATTGCCGTAAAAATAGTGAACAAAAGCCGCCTCGATGACGATAGTATGCAAAAAATCGATCGCGAGATCCGCATCCTAAAAACTCTTGTTCATCCACATATTATCAAATTGTATGAAGTTATTAGAACCGAACAACATATTTACATAGTAACCGAATATGCCAGTCATGGTGAAGTATTTGGTAATTTTTATTCGTATGAATTTGTTTGATTTCGCATTCATTCGGCCATAGATCATTTCAACTCTTGGTTGATGATGAATCTCATGTTCAGAAATGCTAATGGACAAAGGACGAGTGTGTGAATCAGAAGCACGTCGTCTGTTCCAGCAAACGAGTTGCGCAGTTGCATACTGTCATTCGCATCGAATCGTGCATCGTGATCTCAAAGCTGAGAATCTACTTCTTGACCTACATAATAATGTCAAACTTATTGGTATCTTCTTTTCTTGCCTTTCATTCTTCTCCGTCTTCATCAGTTCCTGTGATCTGCATCTAATCACCGCATTTTATAACAAAGTGAATATTTCTCGGTCAGATGAATATTACATTCTCTCTCTACCCGCTTATGGCTTCCATTCCATATTTATTTCAGCATTGATATGATTTCAGATTTTGGCTTCAGCAATTTTCAGCAACCTCAGTCACTTCTTTCGACTTGGTGTGGTAGTCCCCCATATGCTGCACCAGAACTTCTCTTAGGCAAGGTTAGTGATAGATCTCAGTTATCCGAATTTCTTTTATTTTACAATATCGAGGTTTTCATATTTGAAGGAATATGATGGCATGAAAGCGGATGTATGGAGTCTGGGTGTCATTTTATACATCCTTGTAGCTGGTGGTTTTCCTTTTCCGGGTCATTCGTTGGATAAGCTCAAATGTGCTGTTCTGGCCGGTCAACTCAAAATCCCTTATTGGGTTTCTGTTGGTAAGTGTTAAACTTCTGAAACTACGGTTGAATAATGGTTGGCCATCTTTTAGTATGCTTGTTTTCAGAATGTGCCGATCTGATAAGAAAGATGTTAACGTTCCATCCGGGCAAGAGATATAGTGTTGAGAACGTTGTTCAGCATAGGTCTGTATTAGTTTGAATTGGATTTGTTGCTCTTGCAATAGATGAATGAATCAATGATGATACAGATGGTTTGTGGCAGAGCAGTCACCTAAAATGCAGCAGTTGATTCACGAAAGCGTTAGCAGTGGATTGCATCCCGATACGCTTTCATCACCTCGACTCAACCCCACCGTTTTGCTTTTCATGCAGCAGCACACCAAATGCACCGAAGAGCAAATCGTCGAGGTTATTGTTTTGTTTCGTTTGTTCGATACCTATCTAATCGTTATTGGCTGAACACAATCAGAGTAAACATCTGCAGGAAGTGAAAAAGAAGAATTATGAGTGCTCGATATTCGCCACCTATGAATTGTTATGCGATAAAGTGCGTGAATTGTCACTCGATGAAGCGAACAGTGAGTTGTGTACAACATCCTCTACACAACCAAGACGTGGTTCGCGTGGTTCGATTGTGAGTGGTAAAGCTAATATTGAAATTCAGCATTCTACACCGACCATATCTGCACATCACCTTGCTAAACTGAGTCTTTCAACAAATACAGATGATACGGTTGGTTTTATAGATTACACTGCGTTCAGCAGTATAATGGTACTGATATGTGAATTGAAGGAATCAGAACGAAGTGATGATGCATCATCGGATATAGATGATACAGCAGCATCAAGCTCTTCGGCTGCATGCTCGTGGGTGAAGCGTCATGCAGTGCAGTTGGGTACAGTGGTAGGCATTGACCAAGCACAAGCATGTTCCTCTGCTGCTGCGTCCGTATTCCCAACGAATAATCGTTCTGAAACCAGACGTCACACTCTGTGTGCTGCTGATCCGACAATACCATTTCAAACACTCTTACTAACACAACAAGTAAGATCAGACTGCAGTTGAATGATACGTATGGTTTGAGAAAGCTTCGCCCCACAGTATTTTGCGTATTATACAAAACATTAGTTTGCTGAGTGGTTCTAGCCTGTGTATAATAAAGGACACAAAATAACTTTAACTTTCTTCTTTAGAAAATAACTCATTGTGATTGTATCTACACAGCACAGCCACACATCCAAAAATAAATGATGTTTCTTTGCTTATGTAAAGAAAACGTGGTGGTAGACAAAAATTGAATGATTAAAACGCCTATTATTGTTGATTTCATGAGTTGATGAATGGCAAGTATTTTGGAGGGTGGAATGTCTGTAACGAAATATGAGCGCGAACTTTCCATATGTGTCCTATTCGTTCGTCCTCTAAACCATAATCAGTTGCAGATGGCGGCAGATTCGCGTCTGGCTAATGAGGCTGCAGCACACGCGGCTGTTGCCACAGCAGCTCTAGTGGCGCATTCGGCTGTCAATCCTTTCGTTAACACCACTCTACCCACCAATCTCATTCCTTTCAATCATTTGGCGTTATATAACACTTCGAACCCTACATTACCACTTCAATCGTGTATGTCACCGTCATCAGTGATAGCATTATCTGTTGCTTATACTTAGAATCAACTATGATTTTTCCGCATCTTTCAGATTTTTATTGCTAGTATCAATTTCGTTGCTCAGTGATTTAGTTCCATGGCATTGTGGAATGCAAACTTATCCATCTATGGCAGTTATTCTCACATGAGTGCTTATAACAATTTGTTTGTGAGTAATTTATTGAAAGAGTGCTGAAAATAATGCAAATAACATGATCAGCTTTAGATTGACGTAGAAGTGTCGTAAGTACACGTTAATAGATTAAAAATAAAATGAATTTAAGTAGAAAGACGTGCGAGTGCAGGTGAGGCAATGTTCGGTGTAAATGGTTATGAACAATTACTAAGTACGAGTCAACAGACAGCAACAAGACAGATTTTGAATGGTTTTGACAACTTGCAAGCGATTGGTCGATGTACATCATCCTCACAAACACCCAGTAGTCGATTGACGTCTGTACTTACTGTTGAGGAGGAAGGTGAAAGGTTCGTTTGTTAAGATGATTGCAATTTCGAGTTGATTCAAATACCTAGAGACATTCAAGGTATCTAAACCAGTTGGGAACCACCAAAAGAAATACAGTGCATTGTATAAGTGGTACTGATGGGCCATGTTCCACATCTCGGTTTATGCGTAGTCCGTATTCGAAGCAGAGTAATGGTTCTGAACGTCGTAGTAGTTGGACGTCGTCAACACAGCATGCCTCATTAGTCACTCCTCAACAACAGGTATTTTAATTTATTCTTATCTTATCGTCTATTCACCTGCGCATTTCATCTAGACATTTTAATTCAGGCTCAGTTAGAAAGGTTGTATAAGCAGACAGTTGCGGGAGGTAGTGATCAACTTAACGCCATCCAACAATTACAACGAGAGTTCCAACAGCTGAGAGCAAGCACACAGATTTCGCCAGTTACAACGCGGTATACAATCACAATATTTGATTGAAACTATTTTGACTGCATTTCGTTTGAATACTGATTTTGATTTATTGAAGAGCAGCATCATCATTACTGGATTCGTCGTGTTCTTTACAATGTGCTCCTCGCATCAGCATCACAGATGAAAATAATTGTTGTCTTACACAACCTTCTTCATCAGCCACCTTCGATCCCGTTTCAGTATTTGAAAAACAAGTAAATTATTAAAGTTATCTTATTGATGCTGTTTTAGTAATGTAACGCATGACCTATCCAAATTTGAGCAGTCAGTTTCGTTTCTTGTTTTTCGTATATCACTTGAGTCATTAAATCAGATCATTTGGTTTGAGGCTGAAAAAATAATATTTGGGCAGCGACCTGCAACGGCAATTGGTTTCTCGTCGATGCCAGATTCTTCTTGTTCTCCTGAACGACGTTTTGAAACAAGTGCAAAGTCAATAGTGAGTTCACTGGAAAGTAGTCAGGTTTTAACTCGGCTGCGTAGTGCACTCGATACGTTGAATATCACATATGAAGAATGTGGAACGTGTTCATTAGCCAGCGGTTCGTTGGTTGTTGATTTTGTGCTTTGAGTTGGTTTGCTTTGCACGAATCAAACAGACATTTAAGAGACACGTCGAATCTGTGTGGACAGTGCTGATGGAGGTCGTGTTGAAATCGATGTCAGTGCAATGCCGTTATCCATCAATCAGATTAAGAGCAAGGTTGTTGTTCGTCTGCTTTGCATCCGCTAATCATAAAACTTTATTTTAGGTGGATTTTATTTGTTCGGGTGTCGATTTACTGGGCTGCAGTCATCTGTGTTCACAACTCATCAGTAAGCTCAATTTACCGACCTGATTCGTTGATCAATTGCATTAGTTGCGTGTTGTTCATTTGTTCTGTTTGAGGTCAGTCTCATATTTGCTACTCGACGAACGCTTCTCGATTCGCTATTCAACTTATAAACGTACCTAGTGAGTTTTCAATCGACATTCATGCTACCATCTTCCTTCCTTCAGTGAAGTGAGCGTACGTTCGAGTGGCATTTGTTTGTTCTGCGGCTGCCAGCCAATGTTTCTTGATTGTTTTCTTATTCTCTCTTGATTTCCAGCACGTTACTCGGGTATTGTTCATTGATAAATTTATCAATCAATCACATCTGATGTAAATGTTAAATTACATTACATATTCACTTTTCATTTCTCTTTTCTCGTTTATACTCTCATCATGTGCGAATACTATTGTCGTTCTTGTTAGGCGCACTTCTTGCCATCTATACTTATCATTTGAAGCTTTGTGGAGGATCACCCAAAAGCTCTATCATTTCAAAGTGTTTTTTTTGTAATGCGTTTTGGCATATATATCTCATCAACCAGTTTATTATGATATTATTATCTAGTCGTCCTAATTCACCTCCAGTCCTCTAAAGTACTACTGTCAGTCACATCAGTTCTTCAATTCTAAATTACTTTTACAAATCATTAAGAAGCGCAATTCAACTACGATAGTAACAATAGTAATAATCGCTGTTCTCGTGATGTACGTCACATATACTCCTCATACATACGTATGTTAATCTTGATCTTATATTAGATTGCTCTGCTCTCACAATCAGTATCGATCATCCAAAAATTATTTCAGTAGAGCTTGCTCAATCAATCGTTCTTTCACATAAAAGCTCCACAATGGAAACTGTTTTAAATGTTCATTATTCGTTCACTTCTATTTTCTTCAGTCACTGCGCAGATACTTTTTTTCGAATATTTGAAAATAGTATTTATGCAATTTGATTGAAAAGACCATAATTGATGTATAATTGAATGTTGTGCAGTTGATCAGTTGTTTGCATTTTGAGATGAGTGTGATATTAAGAACAATCAGAACATTCAAATAATGGTTGAATCGATAGCACTTGTGAATTGTTTTATGTGTAGTTTTATCCGTTGGAGATTGGTTTATCTGCATAAATTATACATATAAGTGTGCCATAATAGTAATCAATCAAGACATACGCAAATGATTTATGAGTGATTTCTTTATTAGTGGGTGGACTGATGGAAATATGTAAAACTGTTGAATGAGTAGAGTCAAGTAAAATGCGATATCTAACAACAAGACTTATTACGACATTCGTCGTGGATACACTGTCGCCATTCAACTGATGGCTTGGTTTGCTGCGTGATTCGTGGCTCGACGGTTACGTGACGTGCACCAGCTTTTGTTAGAACACTTCTGATCTGGAATGTAATATTAGTGAGGGGAGAGGTGAACGATTGTTTTGGTTCGAAGAAACGAAGCGAGATTTGAGATTAAGGTAGGTAATACCTCGTTCTGTATTCTTGTTATATTTCGCTGTGCTGCGATCTCCCAGTCAGGTTCAGTGGTAGAGCACTGATGAATTATTGATAAAAACGCATCGAATGTGTGCATGGGCCATCGGCGATACACGTGAATATGCTCACAGAGTGTTGAACAGAACTGATTGAATTAACTGATTACATGAATTGAGTAGCGATTGTTTTGGCATTAGTAAGTTTGTAAATGTTGTACAGAAAGTAAATGTCAAACAGCAATTATTATTCAACCTTCGCGTTTATGTCCGCTTTAAACTCGTTCACCTTGAAATTACTCGGAATGTCGCCGACAAGTTGAGGCATCGATTGAATAACTGAAATCAGCTCTTACATATAAACAGCAATACATGGTTAAATTCATGATTATTTCTTCACTTTCTCTTCTTGCAGTATAAAACGATTGGATTATTTTACTGCTCAATTAAGAAGTGACAAAAACTTTGAGTCACCAGGGTATTGCCTTGCGATAATAATAATAATAATGTTTTTAATAAATATTAGTAGTAAATAATAATAATAATAATAACAAGCTGGAAACGCAATGAGTGCGAGTATTGCAGAAGTGACAAGCGTAAATAGAGGATCGGCCTTTAAAATGAGTCCTTGCGGATCAGTGAAGAAATCAATGGCAGCAACGACTAGAGTGGCACTTGCTGCTGAGAAATGTAGAAGAAGATTGAATATGCTGTTGATGGATAGATGTGGTAATGTTCTCGAGCACATCATTATCAACTTGATGATGATATCGATCAATGTTAGTCCAATGTATACACCTGATTAATTGGGAGAGTTATTTCATTGTTTAATGTATTGAAATGAAAATGCAGCACCTCTGAGATGAACACCTTTGTCGTGTCTTTCGATGAGCATTTGTGCAGCATGGATGAAGTTGACGAACATGAGTGCCTCGAATGCGATAATCGCCGATGTACGCAAAACACCAGCTGCATTTTCATTGCACACAAATCCCTTAAGATAGATATTTGACTGGTGATTATGCAAGCAATTTATAATGGTAATGAGAAAGTAATGAGCACCTTCGCTGACAGTATTATAACGAGCATTAACGTCTCTGAAAGTGCAAGTCTTGCGGTGAGACAGTGTGTAAAGCAAACCGCAATTGTTTGTGCAGTTAACAAAACCACTAAAATCCAGTATGGCACGTAAAGTCGTGCTCGTAACTTTTCTGTGCGACGCATCATCGACAAGCAGATCGTTGACATATACTCGCTCAGTTATAGATGTTAATTTATTAACACACTGCAGCCGTATGCAACACAAACTGTATTGCATTATCACTGATAAGAATCAGCAAAACAACAATCACTTATCTATACTACACGTTTTTGAGCAATTCTGCGTGCTTGTTTCCTCCGTGAAGCAGTCAGTTGTTTTGTTTTTATTTACATTGCAAAACACATTCTGAATTCCTTGAAAGTTGCGTGACACGACTGCCTATGAATGCTTTACAGTTGCGATGTAAACGGTCGATTTGAAGAGACATTATCATGTGCACTTAACAGTGTAATACATTCTTATGAAAATAACTTCAGTTCACTTCTTAAATTGGATGGATATCATTTCATTCATTTACTTGTTTTCGCGTTAACAACTCAAGTATAATTTTCATTCATAACACTCTTCGATGTTTCATCACTGTGTTGCTTTATTTTATTGAATCGCTTTGCTGACTGTTTTTCATGCGACTTTCATTAGTTGTTTTGATAATCAGTTCGGTTGTATGCTCAACCCTAATATGATTAGTGTTACTTGTTCAGTATTTACTCATGTTTTCTTGTTGCTTTTTTATTTAATCAGCAATTACCGTGGCGCATAATCGGTTTATGCCACTGTGTTGCCATAAACTCTTCCTTGCTTGACATCATTCTTTGCACACAGCTAACGATGTCAGCGCAGGGAATCATCCATCTTCATTAACTTCTAATCTTGTTCACTCGAAATATGCCCAAAAGAAGATATTCAACTAACGGGAACAAATATCCGGTGATCGTTTAGAGATCGTTATAAGCAATTCATTATTGTTAGCATTATTAGTGACTTCTGAGATCGCTGGCTGCATGAAAAACCACTCCAAATAGCATGTTATAAGTGAAATTGATAGTGATTAATTGAGATGAACTACTATAAGTTGACAAACACTGAATATAAATGGCATCCACAATACATGTAAAAGTTGTTCTGAAGGAGCCTCAATTCGTCCAAATACCCGTTCACATGTTTCTCGATTGATTGGTGTGTATAATGACTGCAGTTTGATAAGTGTGTGCGTATGTTGTTCGCGCGTATGACAAGCTGCTTTACATATTTGAAGTGGATTTGCTGTTAGCTGCTTGCTTGCTGGTTTCGTTACTCACTTTGTGCATATCGATCATTTTCAATGCAGCAGTCATTTTGTTCACACATGAATTTGCATTATATATGTATATTGGTGGAAGCAATTTTGTTGTCGAATTGCATTTGGAGTGGTTGATTGCTTGATTGATTGATTGATTAACTGAGCGATTCAGTCGAATTTTAAATAGTTTATACTGGCGATTCAGTGTGATCAATGTGTGAAGATCACACAAAGACACTTGTGCAACAAGCAATTGATGCTGTCATCTTGCGTCAATCATCAAACATGTATCATTCAATCAACCAAAATATCCATCTTGACATTTAGCCATTCTAACCGTCATTCTTCCCCTTAAACTGGCTTGATTTGTTGCTTCTTCGACACTGAACTGTTTATTGCCTGTGTTGGCGATCGAGTGAATGAATAATCATTAACCATGCCCATTGATTTCTTTTGATATATCTGTTCTGTTGTCTAGAAATTACTAATCGTTACTGATTGTTCTTCGATGCTTCATTATTTCAGTCAGGTCGAAAAACTTGCATATGTGTGTGTAATGTTGCGGATGAAGAAAACACAGTGGTGAAGGTTGATTGCTGTTATATGAGTTTTGAAAATTCCGAACGTTTGAACATGGTGCTTTCTCACTTAAAAGTAGTAAATGTGGTTCGCTTATTTTAATAATTTCGATCATTAAATTTGTTTATAGATTCATAACTTCGTGACGAGACATATATGAAAATGGGCGATAATAGACTAAGATATCTTTCAACATGTTCCGAAGATGGAACACGTCGAACATATAAACGTAGTCCTGCACAAAGGATATTCGTTAACAGGAATCTGCGAATGGAGAAGATTAAGTTCTTTGGATTTGATATGGATCATACCTTAGCTGGTAAGTTATGCTTGAAACTGACGAGATGTGTAACATTAATGCTTTTGAACGAGGTGTATTCTATGCGAGGAGTGAACTGCTAAAGTTTCTTTTCAGTTTATAAATCTCCTGACCTTGAGATAATGACGTTTGATATGGTTGTGGAGCGTATGATCAGTATTGGATATCCAGACGATTTACGTTCATTCAAGTATAAGCCATTATTTCCGGTCAGAGGGCTATGGTTCGACCACCTATATGGAAATCTACTTAAAGTGGACGGCTTCGGCAATATTCTCTTCGGCATTCACGGTTTTCGATTCATGCAACCGTTAGTTACCGTATTCAGTTGATGCCTCATCTCATCAAGCTCTTTTTTTAGTTTATTATTCTTTCTCTTTGAATATACACTCCCTGAAGATAATTTCTCGTTACAATGAATTAATTCTATTTCAGATCCGAAATCGAAGATTTATATCCGAATAAATTTTTGCATTTATCCGATAACCGTGTCTATGTGCTTAATACACTATTCAATCTTCCGGAAACTTATTTGGTGGCATGCTTAGTAGATTATTTTGACAGCAGTGAGCAATACGTGTCGTAAGTTCGTTTTCGTTGAATATCTTCGGAACAGATCATGTCGTTAGAGCAAGATCGTTGTGAAATTAATGCGTCGTTCAGGACCGATGATAAAACCGGTGTTAAATGTGGTGAAATGTTCATGTCATATCGTTCAATATTCCAAGACATTCGCACAGCCGTTGACTGGGTGCATTTCGATGTTAGTTTCATTTTATTGGAGCAACAGAAGTGATCATTTTATAATGTTTTCAGCATGATGCGGTTAATGTTTGTTCGCGAGTGAAAGAGTTCCAGTGGTTTTTCACTTGCTTGTTTTCAGTGATACTTTTGAGCAATGATGTAATGATGATTTTCAGAGTAATATGAAGACTATAATCTTGAATAATCTCGATAAATACGTGGTCAAAGATGCACGAATCAAGCAACTTCTTCTACAAATAAAACAAAGTGGAAAGCAGTCATTCCTTCTAACCAACAGTGACTACACATACACGAATGTAACGTATCAACATTGTAGTATTGCTCTTCAGTTTTCTTGATTTCAAAAGAGCCAATTCCTTTTAAGGGTATGATGAAGTATTTACTTGGTGATGATTGGACGTCATATTTCAATATAACTGTTGTGAGTGCGCATAAACCGAAATGGTTCGCTGAAGGTACCGTCTTTCGTGAGGTGAACCTTAAAACGGGTGACCTGAAAATTGGTATTCATACTGGTCCGTTGAAACAAGGGGTTGTATATTCGGGAGGCTCTTGCGATGCGTTCAGACGACTAGTAAAAGCTCGTGGTAAAGATGTTCTATATATTGGTGATCATATTTTTGGTGATGTATTAAGATCCAAAAAGGTTTGTTAATTCCGAGTCTTTGCATGTGTTAATTTCCAGCAGATTCTTCAGTTCATGGATGTAGTGAGCGCAGTTTTACTCATCTTCACTGACACATTCGTATTTAAAGGCTCGCGGATGGCGAACATTCTTGGTAGTACCTGAATTGAACCAAGAATTAATGGTATGGACCGAAAGAAAGCCATTATTTGATCGGTTGAATGCACTTGAAGCAGTACTCGCTGATGCGTATAAGGATTTAGACAGCAATGCGAAAGAGAAGCCTGTGATAACGACAATTGTTGAAGCGATCAAGGTGTGATTATTCACAATCTCTTTTCTTCGTTTTAGATTGTAGCGTAGAAACACATTGAACTGTTGTTATTGTGTTCAAGGACTGAATGTTGAATTGGTAATTAGATAATTGTGTGTTCGTATTCAGTCACTGTCGAATGAAATGGACAATGAATATGGCATTCTGGGTTCGTTGTTCAGAAGTGGTTCGCGAACAACCTTTTTCGCCTCGCAGGTTACTCATATTTTGCTCTTAGAGTTTTGCGGTGATCATTCGCCAGAGTGTTGATGCAATAATTGTGTTTCGAGGTGGAGCGATATGCGGATGTCTATGCAGCAAGCTGCTACAATCTAGTGCACTATCCGTTGTTCTACTTCTTTCGTGCACCGATGACACTGATGCCTCATGAGTCAACTGTCGATCATGACTCAGTGATGCAACCTCTCCATAACACTGCCAGCTGCACATCCAGACATAATTCAATCGGACAACAAGGTTCTCATCATTGCTGTTCCCGTTGAATTGTCTTTTCAGTCGCTTTCTCTGTACTCTTTTTGAGTCTGGAATTTTGTTGCAAAATTTAATGATTCCACTATCGTTAAGAATTGAAAATATAATTATTCCAGTTCGAGGTTTGAAATTACAAGCAACACCATTTTGTCACGAAGAAGAGGAAGAAGAGGCAACGTCGAATAGTGATAATGAAACTGAGAAACGCGATATGACAAGTTTATCAGATGATCTACCATCTCAACTCAACAATTCTGATATTGTGCATTCTGCAACTGTGCACGAAGATAAGAATATTTCGGCTGATTAGGTCAGTTTTGACGTTATTTCGTGATAAAACAGCGTTTGCGTATGATGCAATAGTCAGCAAGTTGTTCTATTTTTCTCTTGAATTCCATTCCATTGGTTATTGAATTGTTATCAATTCATACCTTGACTTTTATTTTGGAATGTTTCGTGCAAATTTTTATTTCTCATTACTTAAGAATGAAGTTCATTAACTGAGGTGCATAATAAGCTTACAAGAAAAAGCTTACGGAGCGGCGCTATGTGTTCGTTAAGCCGTCAATTTTCTTAATTACGTAGTAGTCAGCTTCGATGTTGGTGTTGATCTATTGTTCATTTATATCTGTGATACGACTGTTAAATTCCTTTTATACCTTCTGGCTTTGTTTTGTAAATACATTTATCAGTTACGCTGGAATGTTGTCAGAACATGCATAATGCATCGAAAATGGATGAATAACCAACTTTACGAGTGTTTTCAAATACTTTTGATTGCCGTTCATCGAATACTGTTATTTCAAATATTCACTTGCTGTTTTGCAGTACCTTAGTATTGTATTTGTTCGGAGTAACCATAAAATATGCTATAACTCTTGAAATTAGTGCATTCCGTTTTAGATGCGTTCATGAAAATAAATAATTTTATTGAAGAACATTTTGAACATTGATGAACATAATTCAATTATTACACATAATCGCTATGACCAACTGGCCCGGAAGTGAAGATTCAGCATCAGTTTCTTCATTACGCAATAAATTAGATGAAGTGCATTATTTAACTGTGTATGGCAGTAATTCTGTAGCAGTAATACGCTGCACACTGAGTCAACACAGTTCGTTAACGATTAACAAAGCATCGTTGCTTTTCGAATATCACTTGTCGCACGTTCAATCACTTGAATATCGTCAATTGCGCACGCACCTTGATTTGTCCTTGTGTTCTCGCATACGAATATTATCTGAATTTATGATTCAATCATTCTGCATCAACAGTATGTTCGTCATTTATTCAAACAAACAAACCTCAGTTGTGCCCGGTGCGCAAGTGAAATCACTCAGCTTCCATGTCCTGTCAGAAATACTGACGAATTTGTCTGATCGGAATGGACAGTTATCCAGACTATCACAACAGCCCTTCAGTTGTACTCCGTGTGTTCCTTCATAAAACTGGAAACGCAATCGTATCGCTTCAGTGAGATTGTTTAGCTCAACCGCAAGACCAGCCATTTCTCTAGGGAACAAGAATGTGGCTGCGTAGAAGTCACCCTCTGAAAGCATTTAATTTCTCGTCAGATCTGAATTCATTCAGTTTTATTCTCATCCATCAGCAGATCAAAGTTCCTTTTCAAAACCAACCACTTCCATCAAACTGATTCAATTTCACTTTACATTCTCCCTTGCGAATACCAAAACTAAGAATGCACGGCTAACATTCAAGGCAAATTTTATTGACAAAGCATCCTAACGAAAGTTTAAATTGCATTAGCTGCTAAGTGATGTCTTCAAAATAAATTTGCTGAATCGTGAAAGAGTGTTAAAGAGAAGGGTCCTGGACCTGTTCCTTCTTTAACGCCAGTGACTCGATTCATAAATTGACCAGTTACGACCTGGAATCGTGTGGTAAGACCTCGAATAGATTGTGTTTGCAGAGCGTCTTTGTAATGGCATGTGCTTCCTGAAGGAGATATATACTGATATCTGATAAGATATGCATATATTGAAGAATAATTCACTTATCGAATCGATTGAATAACGAACAAACTGACCATCCTCAAAGGAGCATTTTGCAGAACGACACGGGCTGATCGATGAAATAACAGTTTTAAGACCAGCTGCATGAGCATTTAACATGCGTTGGTTTGATTCGAACAGATGGTTATTTTCGAGGATATTTTGTGATGAATCAAATCGTGATTCAGATGAATGGATGCCAGATGTCGACTGACTGAGGTTGTTTGATGAAGAGGACGCTTTCTGGGAGAATGATTGATTGACTGCAGAATGTGATGCAGATATCTTGATGGGCATCTCTTCGCGAGCGGCATGCGAGTTTATCTCGACGAATTTATTTTGTTGAGAAGATCGCTGAAATAATAGCAACAGTATGTCGTAACTCGAATCAACTAACATTCCGTACCTACCTTGTTCTCTTCGACAGCAGCTGTATTCTCTTCAACATTATCAATGGCACATTCTTCACCATCGCTTTCATAACTGATCTCAATATTGTCCAGTATTGCAATATCACCTCGTTCTCCAACAAAATTACTTGCCACAAAAACTATCTCAAAATCACCATTACATTATTACTATTCGATCATTCTGCTGTTTTGGGATTGTTGCATTCACACAAGAAACTTCTAATGCGCGATTATTATTTTGTAAAAAGATATCAGTCAATATTGCTGACCAGTGACACGAAGATGTGAGTCGAATGGATGTCACACTATGTGTCATTCGTATATTATAATTAATAATGATAATAACAATAATAATAAATAATAACAGGATGAGACATAAATGAATTACATCAATAAGCGATGCTTTCGGCAATATAAGTTCAGTGGTAGCAAGTCCATTGACCAAGGGAAACTCTTGACAATTAAGCAGAGGGTTGTAGTTCACTGTGCTTGGGAATGATTCTCGTTGACATACTTGCAGAAGAACGTTTTCTGATTGCCAATGTCTCAAATTTAACTTCATAATAGAAACATTCAACTTTAAGCATGACCATTTTGAATCAATGAACCATCTTCATTAACACCTCATTCGAGGACATGCTTTTGAATGGTACTATTGTAATGCTTTCAACGAATCAGATACCTAGCTCTGATCACAATCGGTGAAGAGGCACATCCAATTGCACACGAAGCGAACTGTGCTTCGTCTGATGGTGCAGCATTGCTTGCGTACGCTACCAGATAACTGCCTTCTGAAAAGCAGCGTATTAATCGACTGAAACGAGTGATTCACTGAATCTATTGGAACAGAATGTAATCAGTATAACATTATTGAATAACTGCACCTAGCATCGGCACATTCTTAAGAGTGCTTGACTGTGGAGCACCACTCGCAAGCTGCCAGTCCAACTGATCATCTGGAGGAGGTATGTTGGCCCAGCAGCATGGCCGTGTATCAAAATCACATGAAAGCGCTTCACCTGAAGATGAGGATGAAAAAATCGATGAGATGCACACGTTCAGGTAATAATAGAAGTACAATAAGGTGAGCTTAATGAAGCAAAGAAGTCAGAACCTGAGCTAACAGGACCACCACCCTCAGAGTTGTAGCCGTTTGCGTCGAACTCGTGCACAGCAACATTTTTACCAAGCAAATCTGCAAGTAATAGGAGTATGTAATTGTTCATTCCACGTAAAGATGACATTATTCGAGTTTGCTTTGGAAACCCGGAATTTTGGAACAGTTTTTGGACAGCACAAATGGTGTATTCAATTAAACGTTCAAAGCTTGAAAACGACTCACAATTAATAAGTTTGTATTGGCCAACGGTTTGCTCAGGACCTTTGTTGGCAGATGCTACAGCAACTGAAAGGGTTCTTCCAGGAGCGATGCCAGAACCAGAAGATGCCTGAGAGGCAGCCGCAATGTTAGGAGCGATGCCAGAAGCAGGGAGTTGGGACTGGGCAAAGGATGGTCCTTGAGGAATTGAGGCCGGCGCTTGAGGTGCAAACTGAGCAAACGATGAGGCTTGAGGTGCTGGCAGTGGTGCTGTGAATTGTTGAAGGGTTGAACCGGCCGAGAAGGCTCGTTGATTCGTGCTAAAGCATGATTCACCTACAATATTTTTCACATATACGCTTCAGATCATCAAATCTTTATCATTATGATTGACATTGGTGCACCACTCGGTTTCGAGCAAAACTTTCTTCTATAATCTGGCTTGAATCTAGTTATTTGTTATTATCATTTCTGTCAATATTACTATTATCGTTACCATCAAAGTTATGCTAATTATTTGCGTTTTGTTAATCTGCTTTCATACCTCTGGGGAGGCTGCGAGAGGCTTGCTTACTTATAGCTTCCAACTTTTTTCGAGGTTTTTTAAGCCCCATATTTTTTCGAACTTGAATATTTTGAAGTGGTTAATGTAAAGCTCCACATCACCATTTACTATGAAAATTTGAACAGGACGGACACCACATGTGCATGAGGATGTGAGCGTTTTCACTGCTTGCATTTAAGTATATTAGCTCTTGAAAGATCCAAATCGCCATACCAAATTTCAAGTTCCGGCTGCGAGCCCGTATGTACACAAATCTGTGTATCGACCGTGTTAATCAACACTCACTCCCTCATCGCGCGATAAATGACCGTGCAAAGTACGTATATGTCATTAGCCCCCTCCTCACATGAGCCAATTTCTTAGACATATATCTATCTCAATGATTGCAATTCACGGAATCTGTTACATCTAAACCGCAAGAATAGTTATTTCAAATTTATTATTTATGCAATCCCTGTAAACAAATTCTCTATCATTCACAGTAGGATGCGTATAGATACTATTCTATATTCAATCATTCCATTAAATAAATATACATTCTCACTAAATTTCTCATCAAATCATTTCACCAGTGCAAATGTGACTGATGAAAATGAAATGATGAAAGAATGCAACAGTACCTAATGCATCATAAAGAAGGATTTTGATCTGCTTATCAAATGAGTTGCAAATGAATTTTTTCGCATGAAAAATTAGCACTGTTGCTTTACATAACAGTACGTTCATTGCATTTCAGTCTATCATTTGATCAGATGACTGACTGCGAATAAAATACTGTTTGCAAAATATTCATTTAATGCAAAAAGTAATGAGAATTAATCGAAGTTAATTAAGAAGATTCATGCAAGCATATCTGTATAATATATACGTATATATAAATGCACTTACCTGATCTTAAAAGAAGGAGTAAAAAGAAGATGATCAACGACGACAACATGAACGATTACACTGAAATATACTGAATTAAATGTGAAGATTCGTCGTGATTCCGAAGAATTCGGTAAGCAAAGAGATTCAGAATGAATGAGTGAAAGAATGAAATGAGATGTGAATAAGATATGAATGTGAGATAATTGAGATATTCGGAAGTTAAGTTTATTCAGAAGATTAGAAACGATTGTCTTGTTGAGACAGTGTCATGTGACCTCGTTGAGATGTAGTTAGAAGATATGAGATAGATACCTTATGACCCATTTCAATTTAAAGAATGTGAATGCTCATGTCCACTAAGAGTGTCCCGGATAATACACAATATCAATAATACAGTGTCCAACTATGGAAATCGCGATAAGTGATCGGTACTATTCAGTGTTATGATTAGAAATGTACATTTCCTAGGATTCATTTAGAAAATAATCAATGACTTTCGAACGTTTCCTTTCACTGGAATAATATGTCACTTTTCTATGTGCGTTTTTATGCACTTTTATATATCACTTCAACTGTCTTTTTTCAAATATCTCAGAATTAAAATCACTGAAAAATGAAATTCAATCACCATTGAACAAACGCATATCATTTCTCTCATCAGTAGTAATCATGAATCAGAACAGAGCAATCTGATCTTTAATCTTGGATGAGTTATTCTCGGAGGTATAAGAAACAAAGAACACTTGCAGTCTTTTCCGCATAAGCTATGCTAATAAAACGAATCACAAGAGCATTTCAAAATGAGGATTTCTTTTACAGAAGGAAGGTGAATATCGCAGCAAACAACTTAAACAGAGTGGTCCATCTGGAATAGGCTTGCAATGAAAACACATGTCATTTACTTGAATATTTAATACATAGTTAAAATCGATATGACGCATCATGACTGAGTGTGATTGTAAGAAGGAGAAGAGTTGTTCAGTGAAGGGACTTATTTGAGTGAATTGTATTTATTACAGAAATGGATGCGTAAAACTGACTGAGTTTCGCTTGGATTAGTGTCACGAAAGGGCAGAACTGGTGTATGTTTATGGGTGTTGTTTTGAGGGGAGGGGGTTGGGGTTGGGGTTGGAGTTGTGGTTTGGAATGATGGTGGGAGATGTTGATGATGACATTAATTTGATCGACGATGAAGGAGTTTCAGTTGAATTGATGGATTGAATTCCATAGACGAGCGTTTAATCAGAACGATAGTTTATACATATTTTATTGACGATTGATCGAGATATTGACGATCACATCATATTACACACATACATACATTTAATTTATTCTTATTCAACTTGGTTACGTAAACGAGCATTTTTATGTATGCATTCATGAAATATGCAGTCTCTTTTATTGGTCTGATCGAAGTTTTTGGTTTTTATTAGATTAATATAAATCGAACAGATGTAACGTAAATTTAATAGATTCTTTATTCATTGTTACAACAAATCTCCTCACTGACACACATTCATTCTCATAACATTTTCCAGTTGAATGTTCGCTTTTATTCAAATCGACATTCTTGTCACAGCTGAGAACCTTTCAACTCGATTGCCAAATGCATTTATGATGAGAAAATGGATTGTGGAATTGTGATTGATTTGCACTATCAAATTTGTTTATAGGTTGATAACATGATCACTGAAACACGTAAGTGTTAGGTTTCGTTTCGCTTTCGTTGCAACTGACATTCACATATCTGAGAGATATGACTGAATCAATCATCAAATTGATTCAGTCATATCTCTCAATGTCTCAATCATATTCAATCAACCTTTATCTTAATATTGATGTTAACCATACTTTTTATTTCAGTAGACCACACACGATTCATCTGGACATTTTGTACACAAAAAAGATGAGTTGCAGGCGAAATTATCGATGAGCAATAATTNATAATTACGTGAGCTAGGTAATACTAGTCTTTTTGCTGTTGAAAGTTTCATGGAATCGCGCGATCTGAATCATTTAAATGGGACTTTTTCGGCCGCTTTTTTGATAACAATACAATTTCTCAATTAGTTTTGTGATAGTTCGTCAAGTGTTTAATATGCATTTGCATATGCGGTGATAGAATAGACTGAATTGATCGTTGAGAACTCAATAGATCGATGCAGGCATATGATCAGCCGTAGTTATGACGGAAAAAGACCACTTCTTAACAAACTCATTCAGGAATGTCTTCAGTTCAAAATCATTCTTGTTCATTCGTTAATAAGCATTCACATTCATTGGTCATTTCACATCACTAAATCGATAAGCTGCTCGTCAGAACACTCCCTCATCTCAATAATCGTCTTATAAGCAATTCAGGCTGTACAAGAACCACTCATGTCATCCCCTCTTAAAGAAGATCATTTGAGATGTAATATTTCAGACGTAAATTGTCTTGAGACGTAATATACTCTAAAGACAACGTTCAAAACAGATCGATAGTATTGCTTATAGAAAAGTAAACATTTACAATCATAAACAAATATGTATTATGTATGCGCATACTGTTTACTGAAAGGCAGCGTGTCGTGAGATGTGGTTATTCGGTTTTCACATGGTTATTATTTCTGCACTAGCTAATGGGTAATTAAGAATTTCTTTTGGAGTATTTTCAAGTTTTTAAAATGAGTTACAGCATAAGTGATTGATAAATTTTATTTTCAGGCATTTAAGCGTGCCAAAGATTAGGTATGTGTTTTTTGTTGCGATTGATTGCTTCATGATAAGATTGACAGATCTAGAAAATAATCAACAAAAGCTTTTATTATTGACTAGCAAAACATAATTTGAAGTTTTAATAATCGATTTACAGGAGTTTATCGAGCTCACAGGTTACTGAAGGTAACAATATAACAAATTCACATATACTCAATTTGTTAACAATTAAACTTCGCAGTGCTTTTGCGCCCCGACACGTGAAACAATACAATGATAGGATTTACCTAGTTGCTTATCGAAGGAGCTATTGGCTTGGTTCAAGATATTTTCATCTGGTTAGTGGTCATTTTGAACTGGATATAATTGAATTAGATGATATCCATATCAATAGGTAGTAATGAAAGTACTGCTTATTGATCAACAGAGTGATTGATAAATTACAGGGTCCATTGCAATTATGATAATATAAATAAACACGGATAATTTAGCGCAAACTAGCTATGTCTTCGTCAAATTTTGTAATAAAATGATCTGTTAAAGCAAACATCACATTGAAAGAACACTTCGGTTTGTCGTCCTCTGCGCTTTTAATACACTCTTTGACGAGGTTTCAAAATTCTCAACGATAACCTCAAGGGTCTCTGGAGCAATTTGTTCCCAAGTAGTCAACAGTCGTGGCTTCTTTTGTTTCTCCGTCATGTGTCATTAATAGCAATATTCAATATTCCTCAAATGAGTGGATTCAAACCTGGCCAGATATCTTTGTTCCATATCTCTGCTAGAAGAATATTATACGCTTCCATTGTGATTTTCAATCCATAACATTCAAAGGACTACTGAATGTTCCTTCAGTGTTCCTCACTGAAATGATGTTGAGATTAACTCCTCTTGATGACATGCTCAATGTGGTACTTTGACGATTAAAAACCAATGATGATCACATATAGCTGTTGTCCCTGCCGCAAAGAAATCTGTACGCTGCTATCCATCTGTAATGTCTTGATATAACCCCAGTGATCTGAGCATTGTGACTCATTTCTAGAGCAAAAAAAGTTTGTCATCAGAAAAAATTCAAGTGGCCCAGTCACAGTGCATTTTAAAAAAATTTTAAGACTTTCTCACTTTGGTTTTACAAACTGTATCTGATTACAGTTGGGTTTTCTGTAGCTGACTGATATAGAGACAGTCCAAAATTTTTTTTACAATCCTTCTCACAGTCGCTTCTTTTATTTACAACGATTCCGCCATCGACCTCTCCCATTGTAGACCCACTCTCCTTATGATAACTTTCATAAGTCGAAGCATCTGCGTTCGTTTCCAGCCCTCTCCCTTTACGAATCCCAACCTCAACAATCCTCTCGCCGGTAACAAATAGTGTTATCTTGAGCCGTCATGGGATTTCCGAATCCGATACTTTCTGATCAACGAAAGTAACGATCGCGGCGACAAGAGGCTTTGCACAGATAGCAAATGCATTTTTTAACAAAACATATGCTTGAACATGTTCCGTGTCAAGCTCAAAACAAGTAAAATTATGGAACTCCAGAAAGCTTTTACCACAACCCTATAATGACGCACTTTTGATGAGCAATAAGTTTTTTTGTGAACGTTTAAGGATAACGCACATTATATGCAAACAAG